GCAGAAAGCAGCAACTTCACTTTGGCTGTACCCTTCTCCAAAACATCATTTTATCTGAGATCATTTAATCCCCAGGTTTACTCGAGTATGGAACAAAATTCGTACAGCATTATGATGTCAACGAGATAAAGTCAGTTGATCAGATGAAAATGCTGGTCCACAGATGGCTCCAACTTCATCCTGTTCCCTACTTGTATGTCTCATAACAATAAAATGCTTTCAAATGAGCTGATGTAGGTAACAGCTCTTAGCTTGTCAATAAAGTTAGGAATCCTTAAACCCTTTAAAAAACTTGTCAATAAAGCTAGGGATCCTTAATCTAACCTTGTCAAACCCTATATAAAAGAGGGAGAGAGAAAAGAGAGAGAGAGAAGAGAGAGAGAGAGAAGAGAGAGAGAGAGAGAGAGAGAGGGGGGGGAGTCTTTAAAATGCTGATGAAGTGATGCAAGAAAGTGATAAAGATAAAATGATAACTATTAGTAGTAGTGATGGAGTGGTATGGAGTGGGGAGGAGTGGTGATGGAGTGGGAGTACTCACCTATTTGTGTTTGCAGGGGTCGAGTCTTAGCTCCTGGCAGTGATGAGTGGTGGTAGTGATTGAGTGGTAGTGTAGTAGTGGTGGTGGATGGTGGTGGTTGATGGAGTATGATGGAGTAGTGGTGATGGAGTGGTGATAATGAAGTGGTGGTGGGGTGGTTGTGATGGAGTGGTGGGGTAGTGTGATGGAGTGGTGGTGTAGTGGTATGGAGTGGTGGGGGCGATGGATAGTGATGGAGTAGTGGTGATGGAGTGATGGTGGATGGGGTATGTATAGTGATGGAGTGGTAGTGGAGTGGTGGTGGTGTAGTGATGTAAGTGGTGATGGAGTGGTGGTGTAGTGGTGATGGAGTGGTGGTGTAGTGGTGATGGAGTGGTGGTGTAGTGGTGATGGAGTAGTGGTGATGGAGTAGTAGTACTCACCTATTTGTGTTTGCAGGGGTCGAGTCTTAGCTCCTGGCAGTGATGAGTGGTGGTAGTGATTGAGTGGTAGTGTAGTAGTGGTGGTGGAGTGGTGGTGGTGATGAGTAGTGATGGAGTAGTGGTGATGGAGTGGTGATGGAGTAGTGGTGATGGAACACATGTGAGGCAGCTTGAGGTAAATCCGTCAGCTGTACAGAATCGGCTTTGGAATGGAGCAAGTTTGTCGGAGCCCAAGGTGAAAATGATGGAGGGGTGGAGGGAGGGTAGTGGTGGAGGGAGGGTGGTAGTAGTGATGGTGATAATGGAGAGAGGATGATGGTGGGTGGTGAAGGAGAGTGAGGATGGTGGTAGTGAAGCAGTAGAGTGAACATAATAATGTAGCATAAATTATAACATAGTTTAATATAATAGTGGAGTATACCTGGTTACCTGGAGCAATGTGCACTCCACCACTCCTCAGTCTGACCTGCACTCCACCACTCCTCAGTCTGACCTGCACTCCACCACTCCTCAGTCTGACCTGCACTCCACCACTCCTCAGTCTGACCTGCACTCCACCACTCCTCAGTCTGACCTGCACTCCACCACTCCTCAGTCTGACCTGCACTCCACCACTCCTCAGTCTGACCTGCACTCCACCACTCCTCAGTCTGACCTGCACTCCACCACTCCTCAGTCTGACCTGCACTCCACCACTCCTCAGTCTGACCTGCACTCCACCAACTCCTCATCTGACCTGCACTCCACCACTCCTCAGTCTGACCTGCACTCCACCACTCCTCAGTCTGACCTGCACTCCACCACTCCTCAGTCTGACCTGCACTCCACCACTCCTCATTATGACCTGCACTCCACCACTCCTCAGTCTGACCTGCACTCCACCACTCCTCAGTCTGACCTGCACTCCACCACTCCTCAGTCTGACCTGCACTCCACCACTCCTCAGTCTGACCTGCACTCCACCACTCCTCAGTCTGACCTGCACTCCACCACTCCTCAGTCTGACCTGCACTCCACCACTCCTCAGTCTGACCTGCACTCCACCACTCCTCAGTCTGACCTGCACTCCACCACTCCTCAGTCAGACCTGCACTCCACCACTCCTCAGTCTGACCTGCACTCCACCACTCCCTCATCCCGACCTGCACTCACCATCCCCTCTGACCTGCCCTCCACCCCTCCTCAGTCTGACCCCCACTCCACCACTCCTTAGTTGACCTGCACTCCCCCCA